CTCCCAGACACCAGTTCACTGTCCGAGTCGGTCAGTTGTCTGATGTGGGGATTGGGCGCAGTAGTTGGCAGAGTCAGGGGGGTCTTCTGCGCGTGGCGCATGCAAGACCTGGTCCCCACACACAACACGCCAGGATATCCTACAAGGGAGTGGGCGGCTCGGATCTCATATGTGGAAGTGCCAAGGAGGCTACATGAAGGAGCCATCGCAGTCTGACGGACAGACCATGCTGTCTGGGAGTGCTGGGGGTCTCCATGGACCCGGTGATATCAACGACAGTGGCCTCCTTCTCCTGCAAACCTGCGCAGAATACTGCCTTCTGACTAACGCCTTCTTTGGCCTTCCAACGAGGGGGAAGCAACGTATATGCACCCCTGATCACTGAGTCGGCGGTTGCGAGAATACGTTCTCGACCGCAGAGCGCAGGACGTGTTAGTGACAAAGGCGAGCTGCGACGTCGATGGTTGGACGGATTACCCCCTCATCATCTCCAAGATGAGGCCCCACCTGTGACCTCGCGGGAAACCACAAGGTAAGCGACCACTAGGTATGTTAAATACTTCTCTATTGGACTTGTCTGCTATCCGCTCACATTTCAGCAATCAAGTAGTCCGGCGCCTGGAATAAATACAGGCTGTGGACGAAAACGCCACGGAGGAGACACAGTGGCGCTAACTGGACACACTCAGTCGCCCACGCTGCAGACACCAGGATTGGATTGACGACAACGTCGAAGAAATCTGCATTCCACTTGTGGAGAAGAATATGCTGCAGAAAGTCTAGGTCAGAGGGTCATGCAAAAACAGCTGCGAGTGGGGAAAAACGATTGATAAAAGCTTCGCACATTGGCCTTGTGCGCCGCACTTGTTGGAGGGAAGGCATTTCGCTCGCAGCTGTCGACGAAAATCATCAATCGTGAATAAGGCCACTTGAGGATGAATTGGATTACCCCGACGATGGTTTGAACATAGTAAACTCAATTTTTCTAAAAACTCATTGTGTCTAGGTTAAAACAGGATGTCCAGAGACGAAATTAGGGGCACTACGCAACCAGGCATTCGCAACTAACCTACAACCGCCAGAAATGTTAGCCCACTTTCCAAAACGAATCAGACCTTAAAAGTCCGGAAACATCGAACGAGTTTCTACCAGCTGATAATAACTGTCGGTGGCCGGTACGTTTAAAGAGTCCATAGGGAGGGTAGGGTGGGTACCTGAAAGAAAGAGGTGGTTCATTCATGTGTCCAAAAGAGACAACTACTAGCGGCTAAAAAAATAACGATGTTGCTATGAAGTGGATTATGATGAAGAAGGGCCACGACACATTAGTTTCTCGTTGAATTCACACGACGTTTTGCTGACGAAATTAGATCTGACGGTTTTTCTAGCAGTTAATAAGATCCAACTGTGGCACAATGTTGCCAGTTTCATCTTAATCAAGCTAGATCAAGCTCATACAACCAGTCGGCGATATAATGTAGATTCCATTGCAAGCATGGCGTCGCAGAGCCAGCCATCTTGGGGTTAGTGACCAACATTAGTCAGACAAAAAAGCATATGCTATGCATCTAGGGCGCTGCACAGAAGACATAAAGCGTCGAAAAAGACCCCGACAGAAATTTGTTTTTTCATCAAGGGCAACGTAGTGTTCTAAATGAGCTGAGAAATCAGAGCAAGGCAGACGGTGTATTAATGGTTAAGCAGACTACTGCCACTCTGGAGCGCAAATGAGGAGTGCGTAGATGAGAAATTGTAATACGGAGGATAAGGCCTCTGGCGTCTCATCTTATTCAAATCAGGGTCGTCTAAGTTCTAAAGAATGTAGAATCTTCTTCGATGGACATGAATGTATATTTACTTAAACGTTAATCCGCGGGGCCCGATACGCTGGCTCGTCTACCAACAGCGGGGACAATTCTGTCGTGACTTCACGCTTCCGGAAAGACGGAGTTTGATCGTTGGCCTTACCGCGAGCTTGAGAATTGTGGAACGGCTTTCAGCCAAGGCCTACTGCTCAATAAACAAGCTCCATGCTCTAAAAAAATACATAATGGCAAAAAACATGGAAAAAATACCCTCGGAGACGACTGGACGTCGATCGTCCAAATTTGAGTCAAGACGGTATATTATGGCAAATACCGCCGGACATCTAAAAGGGATTCATCTGCTGTCACTGATTTGCTAACCAATAGATTCCCGAGTGGGGCTGGGGGTCTTTCCCGAACCAGACTAGTGTTACGGCGCTAGCGGAGGCTAACGCACCCAGACCCCTACCAGTCGGCCAAACCTCCTGTGCAAATTGGCATGTTTCGGCAAAGCGCGGATATCGATGTGCACTCTTGCATACCCTGGTACACAACAACTTGGGATAGCGCACCTTCTCTACTTACGGTATTGACAATACCTGTTTAAAAGAAGTCCGGATGTCTGAGACCGGCATGAGAGAAAACAGAATAACAGGATGGGGCGTTGTCTAACACCTCTGTTAAAGTGATGTATGACACCGGTCAGGTCAGGGGAAGATTACCATTGTTAATTGATTTGAAAGGGCAAAGTACCTTTAGTTTGTTGAAGCTAATGGGTCCCGACACCCAAAAGAATCACCCATCGCCCTGCAATTCAAATGACGCACTACATTCTTGTCAGTAAACACAGCAATTTCAGTCGTCAACTGGGACTCAATACTTGGGACTTGGGTGGATAGTGGGTATATATCAGTCCACGCGCTTATATGAGCGTGAATGTTATCACGTTTCAAGCCGCTCATGAAGTTCGTTCGCCCTAACAGCTTTATGTTCACAAAGTCTGATCTAGTGGAACGATCGACTGTCATCATAAGGACATTACTAACTGAATTTCCTTACTGAAACTTCGTGGCGCTTAAATGCACTGCATAAATGAGGAATAGGGCTTATTCAGGAATGCCGTAACGGGGCTCCACCAGCAGCCAACACGGTTTTGAGGAGTGCGTTAAAACGGCCAGTAAGAGATAATGCAACACTTGCGTTATGTTTGTGGTAATATTATGAAATAATCATCGAGCCTCTCAGAAAGGTGCTTTTATAAAAGGTAAAACTAAAAACGGGAAAGCAAAGGCAATGTTCTGCTTTATGATCTATGTAAGAATGCGACGCTAGTGGACATAAGAACGAAACCACATGGCATTTCGAATGGCGTCATTTACCCATCTACCAACGACAGAGCGCCAACCGACGATGCAATGATCGATCCAAGCATGCGAACGAACCACGGCGTCGTTGAGAATGGCCGAATTCCGTATTCTAACGCCATTTTCGATTATCACTCCGGAACCGATCGTCACGTTCGGACCGAGGCGGCAATTTTCACCAATCTTGGCACTTGGATGCTGGGTAAAAGGAAAACGCAGGTTAACATTCGTAAGCGGCAAAAACGACAAAAGGGAGGGACAGTGGTACGAAAATCAACGATTTTTCCTGACATCCCTGATATGCTGACTGCTCTCGTAAAAGTGAAGTTTCATTAAAAAGGACATGAGCAAGGGTTGTGGCGGTGTGATGGGGTGCTGAATCGAATAATTTAGCTGGATTCTCAGACAACCGAGTAATGTTGGCCTGAGAAGGAAATACCCGTATCACGTACGAAAACCCCAAGGAAGAAATCAGATGCCTACGGACTGCAAGCCGTGCACATATTAAACTATCGGCAATGACAACGGCTACACGGAGGCACACACTCTCGGGCATGGCCACACATGCCTCATTGAACGTGCTTAAGTGTAATTCCTACTTTTCAGAGCTCGTGACTATATCAACGGGCACATGTGAAACGAAGTACATGAGAATGAAATTACGCGGGCAAGTGCCCTGTTAATTGGATGAAAAAGTACGCAAGGACCAGTTACATCAAAAATGGACTGCGAAGCGGTAGAATGAGAAATACACTGGGGCCCACGCTCACAAGTAGGCTGATAAAAAAACCAATTGGACCGGAGTCTAACATAGTCTAGGAAGATGAGGTTTGGTTGGGTTATACGTCTAGATGGCTAAGTGGTCAACGGAAAGGTTCATGTAAAAAACGCATAGTTATCTGATTCTTAAGTCAGGGATTCATGAACAGATGCACCCGGGAAATGAGTCTGCCTGTTAATCCAACCGCGCTTACCTGGTAGGCCAATGGGGTGCCGCACAGTGGAATGGATGGCCTGTCTGATAAACAGGGGAATTAAGGACAAGTAGCAGGGATGCCCATTTCATAAACAGCGCATCAGTGCCAACACAAATGAACTTCAAGATCGTTCTATATATGAGGTGACCTTTTCTCTTTCAGAGAAACCCCTTGCACTTTAAGAGTTGATTATGTTATAGCAGTCAAAGCAGACGTGAAAACCCGAAGTGAAATAGGGAAAACAGCCCAAAAAGACTAAAAGCAAAAAACAGACAGGCTGCATCGTGTGGAGCAATAAAGTCATCAAAAGTGTTTGATTGGGAGAAGTGTCTGTCTTTTATAGCTTTAAATTGCTAGATGTTCCTTGTTCTTTAAAAGAACGTTTTAAACCCTCCGACAGAGGTCTGTACTTATGATCAAATATACCAACGAGTGGGATCCCAGGTAAATGCATATATGCTTTGTGAAACGAAGTTCGAGGGGTGGTGCGGGAGGACTCGACTGGCTTGTGCAGCACCTGCCTCCCTCTTCCTACATTTACGACGTCCTAGTTGCAAGAGAGAGGTAAGACCATTAGAGACGGGTTCCAGAGCAGTGATGGAGGCCGCATACCAAAGGTTCAAGAACCACCTCTAAGTCCTAACGAACGGTATCGATCCGGCTTTTGAGTTGACCCCCTCTTCGACGCCTCCAATGGGGCAACGGTATCAAATCGAGGGCAGTCACACTGAGCTCCTGAGGTGGACGACGAAGAACATGCCCAAACCACCTCAGTCGTCTTTCTTGGATGACATGGGTTATCCTTGCGATGTTGTCGCAGCGAGAGCGGACAACGAAGTCGATGTACTTCATTCGTAGGATAGTCCTCAAGCAGTGGTGGTCAAATACCTCCAGTTTTCGCGCGTCCTCCACGCGCACAGCCCAGCATTCACAACCATAAAGAAGGACAAGCCGGACAGACGCGCGGTACGCGCGATCGCTTCTTCCTCTTCTTCTTCTTCTTCTTCTTCCTCTTCTTCTTCCTCTTCCTCTTCCTCTTCTTCTTCCTCTTCCTCTTCTTCTTCTTCTTCTTCTTCTTCTTCTTCTTCTTCTTCTTCTTCTTCTAGTCAACTAGTTCCTGGAACTCGCATCTTCGCTTGTATCGGCAAAACCGGACTTCTCTGCTGGGGGCCTCGCCAGTGCTGGTTTTCCGGATTTTTGCGACATCGAGGCGTCCAGGACGCGGCATTTTTGGCACGGATGAGAGGCAGACTTTCAGGTGTGCAGGAACGAGGACATAGTCTGACCCATGGGCCTTACCAGTCTCCATACCAGGCATCGATCTGCCATCGTGAGCCCAGCTGCGGAACCTTGAGTTGACTAGAATGAAGTCAATCTGACTGGCCGTATCTCTTCAGTTGGCGTCCTTATAATCCACATATTTTGGCGCGTTGAGAAGCTAAAAGCGCATAGATTTACCTACGGAGAGAAAAGGGAACTCTGGGTCCAAACTGAAAAAACACTTTTTTCCCTTACCCCAATAACATGCCAGGCGTCAGTAGATAACTGATGAAGCAACCTTATAAAATCCTGTTCCGTGGAAATAAGCGAAGCGACGTCAGCCAATTTTCATTTAATTTTCGACTGTCAGTGTCAGACCAACACTGGTACTGCCTACGGGAGAATGCTGTGATGTTTCTGAGAACTACTTACACGATTCACCAAATGGACAAGGTAGGGAAATCCAAATTTTCGACGCAGTCACAAAGTGTGACTTCCTTCAAACTTCGCTAGTATAGTGATTTTTGAAGAGAAGCAATTCTCCCAGTCTTCCCCGTGAAGCAGATATCCGAACTCAAAGAATTCGTCATCTAGATCTTAACGCGCCCACAGAAAATGTCGATGTTAGGGAGATGGGATCGTTAGAACAAGAAAAGCAATGCTTGCTCTAGTGAAAGCGTCTCCTCCTTAACTGTTTCCTGGGATTGGCGTCCTTGTTTGTACCCACAGACTTCTTACTTACGAGATAAGGACTTCATGAAGCATTTTTGCCTTCACGGAGTTCCACGAGTTAAACAAGGGTATTATGTTATTTGATCATCAAAGTTCGTCTGACACCGTTTCAATATCCCAAAAGTTAGGCACCAACCCGGTCACAAAACAGAGGACCTCTGATAAAAAAAAACATGAAAGGCAGCCATAACAATGACCGCCGCGAAAAAAGACGTTCATCAAGTGCCTTACGGAGTGGACGCAACACCCGTGACTTGTGCGCGAATGAATCTGTGGTGCGGCAGACTTACACAGCATCTACTGCACTCTCCCCTCTCCTACCAACCTGGCAAGAAAATGTTAAGACGACTGGAAGTGGGCTCGGGTGGAGTGAATGGCATGATAAAACAGCCTGTGTGCGCGTACCACATGCGATCTGGTCCCGCAAAATGTACCGGATCCTTATAGAGGGGAAGACTTGGGCCTCACGTTCGCGAGAATGCCACAGAAGACACATTAAGATCAGTGAGCTTGACTTCTAATCTTTGAATCCGTCACCTCACGTACTCACTGCGAGTATTGGATTATCCCGTCAGTTGGTAGCCTTCCAAGTCACAGCTCTTAGGGCATCGTGAGAGAAGCGGTAGCCGACAAAGTTCAACTGGCTGCTTACGCGCGCCACGACATGTACCGAACTTTAATGAGTGCGGCCCTGATCCCAAGTGAATTAGTGTCATAAAGGCCATGTTAAGAAGGGGCAATTGAGCCCGACTTTCGGGCCTCCATTCACTTCATAACAATACGGAGTCATCGTGTCAGCTGATAACTTTTCAGGCTATGACTGTAAGCGCTTCAGGTCTACTATAATGAAGAAAGCACTGACCTCTATTTGGGATAGTTCCTCAGTTTCGACCTTATCCTCTTTTCCCTCTCCCATACACGAGTCGACTGTCCTAGTCTGTCAACCATCTGGTGCTGGAATTGAGACCAGTGCCTGACGGGGCGTCAAGCCTACATTTGGGCGATCCACAACACTGCCATCCCCGTGTACAGCAATATTTATTGGTTAGTCTGGACGTCATGCGGCCTGATCGAAGCGTGTTGTGAGCCAGTCTGGCCCCGTTTTGTTTCAGTGCATCTACAGTTCAGCCGGTTGTGGGGGCCAAAACCACGACCAACTACACTTAAAAAAACGACTGAGAACTTACGATAAGAACGTTGCCCAAAAGCTTGGCGTGATGGGGACAGGAGGACGTTAGGCGCTTCGATTCGTACAAATGACTGAGGTAGAGGCGCATACCCTGAATAAAGTCTTCCGGTCGTCCGATGTCCATCCAGAATCCTGCAATAAGAACAGATATAGAGCGTTTCATCATTACAAATAGCAGACAAGGACCTTGGATGCAGTCAGAAATTGCCGGCTACAGTCGAGCACTCGACCCTAAGATGGGTGTGAAAAGAATCAAAACGGTCCCTAAAGATACGAAAAAGCACGGAGTAGACTTCAAGACTTGACTTTCCGAGTCCACTCCTGATAATTATGCAGGCGATAAGTGATTCAGAGGACGGGAATACTAAGACTTTCTTGGTGAGCAAGGATTATAACCTCTCAAGCCCACTAGAATGTGCCTGAGGCTTCGTGGTTGGCCAGCTGATTCAAACCCGACCTCCCTATGCGAGCTAGGCGGGACACTCGAGCTAATCCAACGCAAAGTAGCCGTACGCAGCCTACGGAACATTGGTGTTCGCCAATTCCATAAGAAATGCAAATCTCAGTGAGAAGACGATGGTATCCCCAGGTGTCTTGTATTCGCTTACTATCAATCCTCTCAATGAGACGATATAATATTTCACGAATGAAGGCGAAATTTCGAGTTCCGGGTGTATGCATAAGTGACGATGGACTCCTGTACGAGTCAGAAGGCTCAGGACAATAAACGAAGTGTTCCGGTGCTCGAATCTTCTTCTTCACTGATATAATATTTGTCACGAGATTGTTAAGCGGGATTTTCGATTTGGCATACCGGTTGCAAAAAGTCTTTTACAATCCGGCAAACGCCGTGGTGGTGCTACCGTTTGGGCCGTACTACGGGATTCCTTCGTGGAAGACGTAGAGAATGACAGACTTTGTTCGATCGTGATGATAAGTCAATATACCCCATATGTTGACGCTATTTTCTCAATAACGGACGGGAAACTTGACTTAGATATCCAAGCCTTAACATTAATTTTGGGAAGAGCGTCTGCTCCCCTCGACATTTCACTTAGTAGAACGTCTGGTGGAACAGTTGGCAGTGTATTCTGCTAAAAAGCAGGGAGCAAACGATACACAAATTTCAACACTTTTGCTCCACTTAGTCAAACAATGCTTACTTCACTGCTTAACCAACCGATATGCTGGAGGACGAACTTGGTTTTATAAGACATTGCTGGGAAATAGTCTATCTGGAAAGTCTGCCAGGAGCAAAGGAGCCCAAGATTTAAAATAATGAGCTATTTATCAGACCATCCGGCTCATGGTCCAGGTACCAGGTTGTGCGTGCGACGCGCATTTGGGCTGTCTAGCTTTGTCAGCCGATGCGCCAAGTCCCCCTCTAGAGGTTCTGACTCGGCCTCGCCACCGGGCTCAGGTGCGTGAGGGAGGAGACGGTGCGGAAGATGTCCCGCAAGTTAGCTATTACTATAAATTGATTCATGCGCAAACCACCGGCAAACTTTCTTTGTCATTTCGAAGGAAACCCAGCCAGTGAACTACGGCGCTATATGGACCCTGCTTTTGCGTGCACGCATCCAGTGGACAAGACAAGGTTAACTTTCAAGAGCTTCCCCTCTTCGCCCGAAGATAAAGATAAACCGACTTTTCGGACATCTTGAATGCGTATTTGTATCTCCAATGGTCCCTGTGGAGGTTATAAGTCGAACGATTAGGCGCATATCCATGCGGAGGCGGGAGTATCATTCTGCTTGGTTATGTCAAGGCGCGTCAATTTGCATCTCTAGCGGAATCGTGGATTGCATGGCTGGGCGGTCATCAGATACACGTCAAGCAAGCATTTTGAGTCACCTATAAAGTGCCGGCTAGGCGCCCAAAAATACTGTATCAGTGGGTGCTTGCGACGACAGAGATTGTAGCCATGCGGTTAGCTTGTTTAACCTTATGCCCACAGACGTAGATCACCTAAGCGCTCTAACTACTGCGGCCCACTGCGAGACCCACGGGCCCCAAAGTCCGTCGAAGTCCTGGCGCATGGGCAAAGTAGACGCAGAAAATAAGTGAAAAAGATGTCTGGGTTTCAGATAGTTTCCGTCATGAGAGTTAAGTGAAACACGCCAGTGCACAAACGTTTGACTTCAATGGGCAATAGTCAGAGTGAATTCATACACCATTAGGTGTTATTAAATTCCCAAAGGACTGTAGTGGCATGAACTATAGTAGTAACAAAACATTTGCATCAGCAATCACTTAAAAGCATCGTTTTAAAATAAGAGGTCCTAGATTATAGAGCCCTGTTAAATAAAAGCTGAAGTGAGGGAGTGGGCAAAAGGCGCCCGCAAAAAAGGTTTTGCTAGTTATAACACGGTCAATGGCAGAAGTTAGCAGGTAACGTCTGTTAACATGAGTGGACTAATATGTACTATGATTTACAATGAGGGATGTTCGATATTGGCTTTAAAAACAGGTCTAAAATTTACCACTGAACTCAATGCAGTACAGCTGACCATCTTCGACCATGCGGGGAAAGATTTCCACTTCTATGGAAGTAGGGCGCAACTAAAACGATAGGATCAGAAAGACAAAACATGCCTCAATTCTATTCAGAACTGTGGAGTTGAAAACGTAAAGACCGGCGTTGACCTTATTGGCGACAAAGTCAAATGGTTTCTCGACAAAGCGGAGCACGCCTCCTGAATGGTCATTGTAGACCACAGCGCCAAATCTGCTAGGTTCCTCGACTTTGGTTACCTATAGGATGAAGAATAACTGTTGACTATGTTACAGCCATCGTCCCCTCTTTCCCATGGGAATTGTGGAAATCAAGCATACGCTGAAACGGGTAATCGCATATAATGTCGCTGTTTAGAACGAAAAAGGGCTCTGTGAGATCCTTAAGCCAAGGTGCGGCCTGGGCTAGGGGTCCACCTAAGACTAATAGGTGCATTAACAGAGAAACCACCTGTCCCTAAATGCTCATCCTCGTAAGAGAAGTGTAGGCTCACGTTATGACCTCGAAAGGCCTGAAGTTTGAGTAAGAACACCAGCAAAGGCTCACCGATACACACAAAGAACGAATGCCGTCCTCTATGCACTCGGCCTCACGATGGATTGCGAGAATAATTTCGTTAATCCCCACCTAGGAAGAACAGCGTGAAAAGTTATAAAAACGGTTACCGCAACCAATGCCTCGATTTGATGAACAAGCATAGGCCGATTGCAGAACTCAACTAGGGGCTTTAGGATGCTTAAAGTTAGGGGACGCAAACGCGTCCCATACCCCCCTATGAGAATTAGTGCCTTCATTGCGAGGGATGTCAACGGACAGAGAGAAGGTGAGATATAGGCGCAAGAGACATGGATTGAGTGAGAACAGAGCGAGTCGGTCAACCCTCCCGCCCAAATTTCGACCCATTAGAATTTGACAGATGCCCTTATGAATGTCATTCTAGGTGCCTAGTAAATGGTTTTCTGCAATCAGTCCTCTAAACTTCTCAAAGATGGTTGTAAAATGTCTTTTGTTTTTTTTAATGCTTGGTTGACCAAGCAGATGACAAATACATTCCTTCCTCTTGTCTTCCTCCTGTCTTGAACATGAGACCTTTTGACCAGACTCTGCTCGATAACTGTCGCTAGTTAATTGATGCGCAATTCCGGAAAGGACAGCTGGAACGTCGCTGACTACCGCTCGCCATGGCGAGTAAAATACTGTCTTTTCGTTCCTATTTTTGGACTTCGTTATCCAAGATAGTAGGGTCAATTTGAAGGTAATATAGCTTAAAAATTCTGAGGCAGAATGCTCTGCATCAAGGAGGGAGCGTTCGCATTCACAGGGGATGGATGAGTAGAATACGATTAATTAAGTTTAGGCTAATAACTGAGTCCAAGCTGGACTGTGGGACACCTGTCAGTAGTGAGGAAAAGGGGGAAGGTAAGGATCAAATAGTTGCCCGAGTAAAACCCTGAAGCTTGCAGGAGATCGAAACAAACTTCAGTAATGCGGAAGAGGAAACAATTGAATGAAAATATTTACGACCGAAAATAATGATTTTTTAAGGAATTGAAGTGATCCTCACTGTACGCCAGGCGTAAAGTGTCTTGGACTCTATTAAGGAAATGTTAATAACGTGCATTAAAATAGGAACTATCTGGGAAAAGGAAGAGTTAAGAAGAAAATATGTGATAACATCCGTTCCGGCAGCTGTTGCTCATTGGACGTTTTTAAGGTATTCCTGTACTGTTACTACGGACATAGGGGAGCAGACAATTAGTAGTCGGGAAATGTCGTTTGACGGAAGATAGAATTCATTGTGACTAAAGACAAAATTGTCGTTTAAAGACTCTTAATCAGCATCCACATTTATCACTGTGCTACGATAGCCGACGAGACGCCTAAGCATCCTTGAAATGCTATTGACGTTGGTCATCAGCGAAGATGATTACAGACATGTTTACCCCTGAATCTTCGTTCCTGAAGTTCTTATGTACTCATACATGCAGAAAAAGACAGACATATTTAAAATCAACTCGCCATCAACTGAACATCATCTAACAAAGGATCTGAAGAGGGGATTGTATCATAACTTACTCAGCTGGGAGAAACAGGGAAGAAGGCCAGAAGTAGAAGAGAAGCCTTCCTCCAGCTTATTCCTCCTTTGGTTGAGATGTCGAGCCGCGAACTTTTTATGCCAGGACGTCCGGTCCGCCTAGGGAGATGCTAGCAATAAATAAAGCAAACCTAGCCGAAAATGCCTGTAGTTTACAACTCTCCTCCTACTCAAGATTTGGCCCTGTCCTCATGTCAGTTTGTTGATGGCTTATAGTTGTCACCTATCTCGACCTCGTTTGCGGATTGGGCAACGAGGTCTGTTGGGATGTTTGGAGGGAATCAACAGTCGCGAGGGAAATTGGTCCTCTGAATGGTTTAAGGTTGTCGTAATGGACCGTAACTGTGGGGCCGTCTGGCATCTGTGCGTCGCGTATAATATACGTAGTGGGTGACAGGGCGTCTGGGCTAACGAACGGCCCTCCCCTTGGGTTGAAAAATTTCGCCAATTCGCCGACTGTGGGCATGGGTCTAAAACGGATGACTAGGTTACCGCGATTGTGTGGTGTCCCGTTTGATCATCGGTCAAAGCGTTCTTTCTGTCTGTCATGTGCGGCTTTCAGATGCTCCCGAGCCAGGTTGCACGTAAGACGTGACGTCTCTTGTAGTCCAAGTATATATTTATCCGGTTCATGTGTATCTGGTGGGTAGGGTGCGAAATACGCATCTGCCGATAATCTGATTTGACGGCCCTTCGGCATCAGAGAGGGCGCGTAGCCGGTAAATGAATGGATAGTAGATCTATAGGCCACCATCGCATAGGGCAGACGTGTTTCCCAGTTAGGTCGGTGGTGTTCCTATACAAACGCATCAATGGATTGATGATGGAGCTGTTCGTATGTTCCAGATTTCCATTCTTTTCGAGGCAAGACGGAATGGTTCGCGTTCGATGTATGGGCAGGAGATCACACACGCCACGCACCAGGGTACCTGCAAAATTAGCACCACAGTCAAAGTGTAGAGACAGAGGGGCCCCGAAACGGCGAAATTCCCTTGGCAATTAGGGCATTAGTAACTGACGTACCGTCTTACCGGCGTTATAGGACTGCTTCCGCACATTTGAAAACTTAATCGGACATTACCGGTATATAACCGTTACCAGTGGACTTAAAATCTAATGGGTCAAGCATGTCTATACCCACATGCTTGAAGGAGAACCCAGTGATTATTTACTGTAGCGATACCTTACTTCGGAGAATCGGAAACTTTAAAGGTGCGCAAGTCGGTCAGGTGTTGCAGAACGTCGTGAGCTTTTCTCAAGGCGTGGTCACCAGAAGTGTTGCCTAACCGCGGCCTCTGTCCTCATGTGCCTGACTTGGCCTTATTCTCAGTAAATATCATTTAAGTCAGTCATTTTAAGTCAGTTTATTAGGGGAATGCGGCTTTCGTCCTTAAGTTCCCTATTCATATCGAAAACAGAAATAGAATCATCAATTACATCAGAAAATGCGGAAATTCAGAAGTTAGCGGTAAGTGTGAGCCGAAAGCAAACTGCTGCCGCTAAAACAATCGTGACTGTATGTACAATAGTTTCTCAGCAAATGAGCATCTAGTGTACACTTAAAGGATTCGACAGTTTCGGAAAGGACCCCCGCATCAGGGAGTCCGATCCATGCCCCAATGACCCTGTGGGAGAAGCCGTTCCGTCGGACGTCCGAAGGAGCAAGCTTCCTCTGCAGTTTGAAGGGATGCCCACGCAGGCGGTCAGTCCCGGCCAATTCGAAGAATTCATCAAAGTCTAGGGCACACTTACGACCTCTGACAATCCTGTAGGTTTGCATGAGATCGCCGCGCAGTTGCCTGTAATTTAGGGGAAACAGATTTAGTTCGGTCAATCTGGTTTCGTAAGGCAGATGATGAAGTTTCTTGACCATCTTCACAGCCATCGCCTGTACTCTTTCCAGTCGTTGATAATCTTTCTTCAACCACGGTCGCCAGGCCTGGACTGCATACTCTAAGTGAGACCGGACGAATGTCCCATAGATTTTCCCGAATAGCTCTTTATCGATCTGCACTAATCCTCGCCTCAGCGCAAATAACACCCTTATCGCACTTTTGGCTGCCCTTTGACACTGTGATGATGGTTTCAGCGAGGAGGTCATTAGGACGCCGAGGTCTTTCTGTTCCACAACATTTGAAAGGGGCTGACCACCAAGGACGTATTGAAAGGAATAGTCCTCCTTACTGGTCTTTTTGGTGCGGAGTCTCAGGACCACACATTTGTCCACATTAAAATTAAGGAGCCAGCGAGATGACCAACTGTGCAGGCGGTTGAGACTGTCTTGAAGCGCGTGCCTGTCTGCGTCAGATCTGATGGCTCTCCACAGCTTAACATCGTCAGCAAACATGATGGCGCTGCATCCCAGGTAGTCGAAGCAGCCGCTAATGTAAACCAGGAATAGCAACGGCCCTAAGACGGAGCCCTGGGGTACACCACTTAGGACGGGAGTAGGATTTGACCTTAAGGCCTCGACGCACACTGTTTTTGGTCTCCCGGTAAGAAAATCTGTTATCAATGTAAGCAGCCTTCCTTTTTTCCCAAATTCAGAAAGTTTGTTGATTAGGCGTTTGTGTTGGACGCTGTCGAACGCCTTCTTGAAGTCTATGTAGATAACATCAACCCTACCATCCTCGTCCAGTGCGCGAGTCCACTGCTCCGTCGGGAGCAATATACTGGAAAGGCACGAGCGGTTCTGTCTGAAGCCGTGCTGCATATATGTGCATAAATGGCCCTGCTCCAGGAACTTCATTTTTCCTTTCTTAACTATGGCTTCTATTATTTTACAGCAGATGCAGGTTAGACTAACAGGCCGATAATTGTTAGCATTAGTGCAAGCCCCGCCCTTGTGTATCGGAAAGATATTTCCTGTCTTCCATTCCGATAGCAGCCTCCCTAATTCGAATGACGAGCGGAAGATGCGTGCCAGTGGTTTGGAGAGTTCATTCGCCAATTATTTCAAGAATTTGGCTGACATATTGTCCGAACCCGAGGACTTTACTTCTTTGAGATTTTTCAGCTCCCTTTCAACGACAGCTGTCTGGAAGTGTATGGAGTCAAGTACGGAAACAGCGGTCTCAACAGAATTGCTGGAACTGCTACTACGAACCTCTGTTTCTCTAGTAAAAACCGAGGCAAAATACTATCGTATGTGTTCGGCTTTCCCGCTGTTCTCAATGATTTTTACACCATTATCATCCATCAGCACTGCAACCGGGTCCTTTTTTTAGTCTACCGTTATGATAGTGAAATAAAATTTTGGGTTTCTGTTCAGCCTGTCGGATAATTTTGGATTCATACTCCTTCCGTACCTGACGCATGCATTTTTGACTGCATTTCGTTGATGACGAAATTCTTCGAAAATCGCTGGTGACGCATTTCGAAGAATTTCGTCGTCGTAAGACTGGTATGACCAGGCTACCAGAAGCAACGAGCCTTGGTTGACTGTCGGTGTCGTCTTTGAAGAAAAGGGTTTCGTTTGCCAAATGCCGGCGTTGCCAGTGATTCCATAAGTTACGAGCAATGGCTGAAGAATCACAAAGCTCAGTATCAGCAGGGCGGTGTTGTCCGTGGAACTGATGGTCGTGCGCAATAGTTGTGTCAGGATCGCTGCTTTGTGCGGCAGCCCATTGGTGACACGCGGGCCCACTAACAACGATAGCATTTAAAGTGGCAAATGCGTGTCTGTGGATGTATCCTCTGCTATGACATGTCTGCGGGCTTGCGCATCCGCATTGTTATGTTCAGTCCCTGGCCGGTACTAGCAGGTGAAATCGAGTTGCTGTAGCGTTTGTTGCCATCTAACCCGTTG